TATTAGGGCATTCAATATCGTAACATATATACATGTATATATTACTTGGCTCGGCCTATTTGACCTGCACTTTAAACCATTGGTTATCTATATTTTTTTTTATTACAAAAATTTATGAAACAAACATATACATTTCATTTTTTTGTGGGGGCTGGGGATGTGTGTGTCGGGGAGGAGGGGGGAGGGGGACGGACTTTTACAGGCAGATGTGAAAAAGTTGATATGACACCAAGACTTTTTGAATCATTCAACACTCTAAGGCTTACTATAAGGTACCAAATACAAAACCACCGATGAAATTATATGTAAAAAAAATTTTCCACTATCAAAATTATAGTTATAGTTCTATGGAATGATTTTTTTCAGGGTTGTAGTAGGGGTCCAGGGGCAGATAGGGGTGGGGTGTCCAAACACTGATACTGCCACCTGTGAATGAAAGTATTCATTTTTTGTCTTTTTTCTTTCATTCTAATATCTTATCTACCTGTAGGTAGTACCTATAATCCTTTGCTATTTGATTAAATTGATTTTCATAAAATAAACTTGTATTCTGCTTTTAATTTGGAACCATTTAAAATTTTAGGGATATTTCAATCAGCCAATAGCTCTTGGGTCATGTAAAATATCATTACATTCCATACAACTCTCTAACTTTCGGAGGCACAGCCTTGCCATTTTGTTTTAAGCACTTTTATCAAGTTGAAAATTTCCAGGTAATCACGAAATCATGACAATTTTCTCCTATAGAAATACCTGTAACTGAAGATCAATACAGATTTCCTACAGATGTTCATATATACTACATAATGATAACATATCTGCACTCTTTATTATTTAATGTAACTTCTCAGGAAAAAGTAAAAACCATCCTTTGAAGTCTAAGGAAGGTATTTACAAAACTATAATGTTTGATGTACAAGATCTGTATATCATTAGATGCACATAATCTATCACTTACACAGTGTTAGAGATATATAAATGTATGTCATGACAGGAGACACAATAATTTATGAAACGAGTAATTAGCGACCAGCAAGACAAGCTATAAATGCCTGTCATAACTGTGTCACTCACAAGAAAAAAGAACTGAATGGAAAACAAGTTTAGGGAAAATTGTACTCCTGGCCTCGAGGTTATAAAACTTCTTTTCTGAGTTCTGTCTCAAATATCAGGGTTTTCATTGGTCAGTGTATATTCTGTAACAGTTACTGACCAATGAAATGCCTGAAATTTGAGTTTGAGCTAGGCGAATTTCTTAATAACCTTTGGGCCTGGACACTACCGCTGAACTTAAATCTTTACACTTCTGAAACTGCTTTAACCTAAACCTGCCAAATTTGTATCATGGATTTGCTCTGCTATGAATTTGGAATAGTCAATTTGATGTTTAAGGGAATTCAAATATCAAAATACAAATATTAAGCCACCAACTGTTTTTGACCTTTGTCAGAGTTTTTGACCTTTGTCAGGCTGGCCAAGCTCTACACTGGTGTTAAAGGCATATCACTTTTGGTCCCAAATATTAAAAGGTTAATGAACCTGTCCTGTCCATGGTTATTTTATGGTGTTTCAATATGAAAAAAATAAGAAAATTAGGTAATGACCAGTATTGGGATCCATCTGACTGCACTGGTGGCAGATTCAAGCCACTGACCTTTAAAACGTGAAAATATTAACTGAAATATTAACTGAACCATCAGTGAAATGAAATGGAAATGCTGAGTTTTAATTGTCAACTCTGCATAGATTTCCAAAACCAATGAAAATATAATTGTTTTTCCAGTTTACCCCCAAACCTCTTAATTTCACTCTCGTATTTGACTTATCAGTCGTAAATCTTACATCGTTTAAGACATGAAATACTTTGATATAGAAAAGGAATTTCAAGATAAAATAAAATGAGATTTTCTCCCATTGTTTGGATTTTAAATACACCTGATAAGAAACTATAAATGTCCATTGAACAAAATCCTGAATACATGTCATATTATACTTTGAAAGTGCAGATTCAAACTGTATCAATACTTTATAAAGCTTTTTTTGGGTATGAGACTTTTAATAAAATTTTGCAGGGGTATAGGGTATAACTTTGTTTGCCTGCTGGCAGCCAACTGATTCTATTTAGGTGACTAGTGCAGACCGAGATCTGCTGTCACATCGGTACTGTCTGATCATGGTCTGTACTGTTTACTATTCAGCCAGTACATAATGCATAAGTTTAGTTATCATCATTGAATAGCGCCAATCACATTATTTATTTAACAAACATTTTTTCAAATTTTTAATCTTCACAATACAAGTACATTTGCATCTGATTTCTTGGGCACTGAATGTGGTTTCACCTTAACCCAATCCTAAATATGTTATATGGACTTGCCAATCATTAAAAATGGACAAAACCATTCCTCAATTTTAGTAAAAAGGTAATAATAAATGTTGACTAAATAGTGCACAATGCAGACTATGATCAGACAGCATGAATTTCAAAAGGTCCAAGTCCCAAGGAACTCATTTTTTATTTTCATAATTTAACACTGATAACCATATAAATCATGTGAAATCAAAATGACAGCCTTTCTTGGCTTACAACATCTCTGCTTAATACTGTCCTAATCAGGAGGTTCATCTGTATTTACTATTAATAAGGAGGTACCCTAGATCAAAGGTTTCACTGTATATGTAAATCAAATTTTCATCATTATTCGTGTGCGAGGGAGATGCAATATTCATATAAAAATTAAGTGGCTATTAAGTATAATTGATATTATCTAAAGTACAATCTATACTTCATATTCATTTACCAAGAAACTGTATAAACTATTATCTCTAATCAGTTATGTATATACAAATATATGTATATATCCTCAGGTAATGCAGATGAATTTAAAAGCAATAATTTGCATGAAAATAAATGAAATGTTACAAGGTGAAACACACATTATTTCATTAATTTTAAACGACGATTTTGTCACTTTTTATACATGTCAAATAAATACAAACAAGAGCTGCCCGACAAAAAGTTTGCTTGACTGTTCTCAGTGCTTGATAGTAAAACAAGAGCACTAAAAGAATTATAAAATGTAACAAAGGGGAAAAACTCTGTAGACATCCACACTAGAGTTATTGGTCTTTGTCAACGACCTTGAATTACCATGACAAATACATTGTTTATGTGTGGAGTTTTCAGTAAATATCTTTTATTGTAGATGAGAAAGAAATACATGAATATGCAATCATTAACAAGAAAAAAACTTAATGAAAATGTATACATTAATAAAAATTTATGTATCACTTTGCGGGAATAAATACTTGAAATTACTGTCCCAAATAGGTGAAATTTCAGGAGAATACTTTCGTTGGTTTATGAAATATGAAATTGCATTTGGGGACCTAAACTAAGAATAAATCCTGATATAATCAATTGGAAAGTGCCACTTTTCTTTATATATAGTCTAGCTTAAAAAATTCACGGCAACTCATAGCTTCCCAATAAATCATTATGAAAGTATAGAAACACACTCTCAAGTTGAACAAATTTTACATACTACACTGTATTAATGGATTATATACTTTAAATATGGTATTCTAATATTCTATAACACCTTAAGTCATTTTGTAACCATCTCTCACCATAATAAGGTCATGAACTTTGTACTCAAACATGCCTTGCCAGTTTTTAACATTTAATTTTTATCCAAGGCTTAAACTTTGTGCAATTCATTCCAGTTCAATGGATTGAGTATATTTTTTTATTGAAATCCCTTACAAATTGCTTAAATTTAACAAAATAAGAAGAAGAAAAAAAAAAGAAAAAAAAAGAGTTGAATTTTATCTTGGTTTTGCATCACTAAACTGGAAAATTCAATTGGCATTCACCGAATATTTGAGAAAAGTCACAAATCACTTCTTCTATTAAAAAGAGGCAAATTAAATCATTTAATTAAATTGGGTAATCAGAACTGGCGGAGAAAAACAAATAATCAAAAGTGAAATACTGACACTTTGCTGCTTCAACCTGATTTAATACAGCCTTTCATTCCTCCAATTTTAATTCAGGCCAACATTACTGAAACCTTATGCAAAGAAATTCTCTACATTATATCAAAAGATCGTGCATAAAAGTCATTTATAATGTAAAGAGCAAATTGCCTTCTGTAAGGTAGACGGATAGCTTCTTCACATGAATACCTATTAGTATCATTTAACTCCTGAGAGTCGAAACGTTGGTTATCGTTGGTTATCATCATTTAATAAAACTTAAAATTTTATCCTGTGTTGATTGTTTGTTCCACTTTTATTAATTTTCTAAGTAAGGCCCCTATTATTTAGTTCACTTTCATCCTGCAAGTGGCAACTAAAACTACCCATGTGACCAATGCTGACCAAGACCAGATGTGAAAACATCACATCAACGCCATCTAAACAATTGTCTGCACTGTTAACTATTCAGTTATATCAGTTCTTAGTAAATGAAAGATGTGTAAGATTATTTAAGATATTTAGCAAGGTATGGATAAGTTTACTAATAAAGTTTAGTGATGTATGGATAAGTTTACTTATAATGTTTAGTGAGGTATGGATAAGTTTATTTAGTGAAGTATGGATAACTTTATTCAAGATATTAAGAGAGGTACAGATAATTCATTTATGATATTTAGTGATGTATGAACAAGTTTATTTAAGATATTTAACAAGGTATGGATAAGTTTTTTATGATATTTAGCGAGGAATGGATAAGTTTATTTAAGATATTTAGCAAGGTATGGATAAGTTTATTTAAGATATTTTACATGGTATGGATAATTTATTAAGTGAGGTATGGATAAGTTTTTTTTATGTCATTTAGCGAGTCTAGAACCAGTGATATAACACAGCATATAATATTTATTTTTTTAACAAGTTATCTTATTAAAATTAAATCATTTGTATTTTGGTACTACCTAAATTAAGTAGCTACATTAGAAGGGACACTTTTTTACTAGTTTTCATTTTGCACGTACCTGGGTAAGTATGACCCATTGATGTGTTTATCCCTGAACAATTGAGCATACTGCGGTAAATCCACTGACCATATCAACCATTCTACCACATCCTCCACTGTCCAGTTATATACTGAAATATAATATCAAAATATTCACAATATCATCTTGCACAATTATCGCGGGCATCTAAAACAACTACATTGCAATTTGTAATTATCAGTGAAATAGTTTCACCATTCAAACATGTAAAGTGGCCAGTAGATTTATTTTCTTTTTCAATCATACTTCACTTTCAACAAAATAATATTATTGCAAGAAAATGAACATATAAATAATTTTTAATTATTCCAATTCATATTTATGTAACAATATTATAATACTGTATTATGCTTTTTATATTTTTGTCACATGAATATACCCTTTGAACCTTTATAGTAATATACTTGTAATTATAAGCGCTAAATATGTTTAATTTAATTAAAGTTTGTTCTATGGAACATGAGACCATGTGCAGCTGCATTCCATTCATAGAACTGAGTCCGGGTACGAGTCTATATTCTGTAAGCTGCAAACTCTCCTATTACTGCAAACGATACCCAAGTTTTTCTTAAACTATCCAAGTTTCTTTAACTTTGAAATGACCCATTCTTATATATGGTACATTGTATCATATTGAAAATAATACAGAAGTTTAAAGAACAAAACAAACATATAGAAATTGGTTGAGCATGAAACATTATGAGCAAATTGCATTCAAATATACATGTATATAACAAATGAAGTAAAGAAATGAACAGGTATAATATCATGTAGCACTGAATTCACATTTACATAATTGACAAAACTGTGAATACAGTGGCATATAGCAAAATATATGATATAACTTCCTCTTCAGGACCATATAAATGTCTAGACCCTTCTAACTAGGGCACAGACAGACAGACAGACAAACCCAACAAACCATGAGATCTTTTCCATGCATTCCAGAGATCAGCTACACTTATTTTATCATCATGTCCATGGAATATCGACTGCCTTTCAAACCCATCTGTGTTCTGCAACTCATCTCGGAAAAACTGTAAAATAAAACACAAAATGGGAATCAATTCAGTACAAGATTGAAATTCTGAAATAAAAACTATTTTTCTATGTAGCAGCGCAATAATTCAAGATATCAAAAAAACTAGTCGATATAAGCAAAATCATTTCCCAGACTTTATACTGGATGTGTTCAATTAAGTTTTTTACCTTATTTAAAAGGTCAACAACTTGACATCGGCAGCATATTTGTCACAGACTGTTCATATTGCAAGTGTTTCTAGATCCTATAATTCTAGATTCTATAAGCAACATGTTCACAGTTTATGAAAGCCAACTTCTCCTCATGAGACTGGAGTGGAGAATAATTAACATACATGTTAACTGCGAAAATCTTCCTTGTGTCAAAGACAATTTATTCTGGACAGCCAAATGATGTGAAGAACGCAGCTATCATTTACACATGGCCTGTTACAAAATCTGCTGTATATCAGCTAAATTGTCACATATATTTGTGACATGCCCCAGTCTCAAACCCTGGCACTCTTGGTAAGACTTCTCTCAAATCTTTCCTTAAATAACCTTTGACCATACCTCTCAATAATATTTGACCTTACTGCTTTCATAACACTATGAAAAAATATCTGAGGACCTGTGGGCTATTGGATAAGGTGACAGGGATGTGGGTTCAAGCCCAAGTTGGGTCAACACCATGTTTCCTAGTATGTCAATAGGAAGCAGACTAAAGAGTGGTTCAAATTTAAGCTACAAACTTTCTTTACAATCAGGCTTCAAAAAATAACTTTTTTTTCTTAAATATCTATATCTTTTACAAATATATATAATATAAATATACAATATATAATCCTTAAAAATCCTTTTTTCCTTTACAAATCTCATACAGCTGTTTATTTTGGCAGTTACATTAGAAACTTATATTTTCAACAGCTTTAAGATTTGTAATACTCACAGTTATAACATTTTTTTACTTTGTTACATAAATATAATATATCACATTAACCAACTGTTCACCACTCAGCTTGAAATCAGTTAGTATTGTTTATTAAATAATCATACTGCCAATATAAACAATTGCACTATTATGATATTAATTAGATATTTCGCATTCCCGATAAAAAAATAACAATATAACATAAATTAATATAACTCATGGTCGAAGTGTAATGTAGTATAGAGTTGAAAAAAGGGGAAAGAAAGAACGCAAAACTGAAACACAGGTCCCGTGCAAATACTAAATTACTCCTAACCCCAGCTGAATCTGCATAATGGACTAGCCCTAAGTTTGAATTTAGATGAGTCCATTTAAGATTTTAGGGAAATTTGTATGCCAAAAGTAGAGAGTCTGGTCAGATAGCATGTATTGGCATGCTGGTCCCTGGCTTTAAACTGGCTTTTTCTTAGTAGTGTTAGGATCCAACAACCATTGGTGGTTGGGGGGGCAGCAAATGAATTATTTTAAAATTATTATTTCTAAAACGGGTGGGCATCATTCAACAGAAAATAAAAGACAAATTCTTAAAGTGAACAAAACATAAATATCAAACACTGAGATTTATATATTTCAGTAATTGGGGCTTCATTTCCTTAATACAAAACTTGCAGCATTTAATCAATCTCAAATCAAATCAAGTCTGAAGGAAACAAATGGTAGCTAGGTTCAATAGGAGACATTGTTCATCATTAAGAATAGCTAAAAACTGTTGGAAGATAAGAGATCAAAAACTGTCATCGGATTTGTCCTTAATCTATTACGTATCTTGTTGTATATTTAGTTCTGACATTATAACGACAAACTGGCCAATTCAATTGGTTTGTATTAATAGACAAAACTATTGAAAGTCTTTAAAAAATACTTGACAAATTTGACAAGTTTAAAACATAGGTTAACATCAGAATATCAGGAAGAAGGAAATAATCCAAATTAAACATGGTAAGAATTTGTCAAGATCCGATTTACTTATCACAAAGATAAAGAAAACATCAAATTCAAAGCAAAAAATTTCAACTTGAAAATATAACTTCCTTTTCAACAGTTCACACTACACGACCTGCACTTAACTGATATGTTATATAATTCAGCAAGTAAATAAAAGTATTAGAGGAAGAGAGGGGGTGGGGGATAATATATTATAATACAAACATCATCTTGAACAAATAAGGGACAAGATAGGACAGAGAGGGGACAGCATTCCCAGCATTCCCTGTTCACCTGGTAGAACGACGTATTTTGCGTCTGCTGGTAATAATTGACCAGAAAATCTGTCAGCTACAAACATAGAAAAAGGTAAATGACGGACTGCAACAATATAGTAAATGAAGTTTTCACACCTGGTACAAAATATCTATCTCCCCAGCTATTCAAATAATATCAGATTTACATCCAGATACTAACCTAAGTATGAAAACAGAATAATCTAGTGTGAATCTAATATAGGTAACTGCATACATATCCGTGTATACATGTACATAACAAATTCAATATAAAATAAGCACATGAAATCGTTACATTAAAATGTTTCAAATTCAATGCATACCTGCAGCCAAATTTCTCCTGCTTTCAATCTAAAAATGCCATTAGTTTAAATATACAAATTTAAGTTTAACAAAAGTAAAGACTAAAGAATATGATAAGCTGCACCACTTTTCCTACTGGTCTGGCAATTAGGACACTCGCTCCTGCTAATTTGGTTATCATTTTACAGCCCAATGATCTCAAAATAAGTGAGGGTCCTGCAGATATTCATCAGAGGCCCATATTAAGATTTTATTTTAAATGCAGGTACAAATAGGACTGATATTTGTGTACCCAAGTCAGCCTACAATTACATTCTTTGTTTAGTTTATGTGTCACTGGTAAAACCTGATAGCTAGCTGCTTAAATGGTCAAAAGAGATAAAAATGCTAAAAATTAAACTAACAAAAATTAACTTATTTATCCCTCTACATATAATAAAGAATAAATTTCTATTTTTGAACTTGTGTCATAACCTTTCAGCTTTTTTTAAAAACTTCATATAAACTTTACATAAAGTCTACCTGCATAATTATACATGCATATATTGATGGTTTAATGTGAAACAGCTGCAACTCATATTACATAATGAAGAATTTACGTCAATTTCACACCAATCCATCAATACATGTATATCAGTATAAATATCAAGTTAGACTTCACCTGGGGCTTCCATTAAGTTAAAAAATTTGGAAGTCAGAGACTGCAAAATCTCTGACATTGGAAGTCACATAATATAGGTAAAGAAAGTAAAGCATTACATTTTTGAAGCCACAAGCTAAAATCAAGCAGTAAATATCTCCCAAACTTCCACTAATGGAAGCCCTGCATTTTATAATCAAGCTTACTTTGTGGACTGCTAATTTTTAACACTCTGATATATGATATATATTCAGAGAAATCCCTCAAAGTTTCAAACCCTGCAATTCATAAAGTACAAAATTTCAGCCGATTGAACATTAACCTATTCAATCACATGCCAAACACACTGATTGACCAATGATGAATGCAGCCAGTCTTTTGTTATAATTAATTTGACCAGACCAACAAGAAAAGTATCCTGTATTTTAACAATTATAGTTCCTCCCCCAAGATAAATCATGGCCAGTGTCCAGATAAATGAAACAGCTGCCATTTAACTGTTTCCTGCTACAGTTTTTTCCCTTACTGTAAAGTGTCCCCTGGGAAATTATATAAAAGAGTTTTATATTTCAGACAATTTCATGTGGAATGTAACCTTCCGCCAGTATGTGTATACAGACAAGATTGGGAAATTGTTGCCTTAAATCAGGCATCTTAAAACTAATTATGTACATTGTAAGAATTAAGTTGATTTAATTTTCTGACCAATTTCTATGACATTTGGAAAGGTTTCCCATATTTGGGCTGTTTGACCTAGTTTTTCAACCCCAGATGACCCATATTCCAACTTTAACTCGAAATTATCTAAACAACCATTCTGACACATGTATATTTAGACCAAAACAGTAGCCACTAAAATGTTAAAAAGGTTTTTCCATATTATGCCTGTCTGACCTAGTTTTTGACCATTGGTGACCCATCATTAAAACAACCATTCTGACCAATTTCAAGGATGTATGGGCTGAAACAGTAGCCCCTAGAGTGTTAAGAAGGTTTTTCAATATTTGAGCTGTGTGACCTAGATTTTGACCCTAGATAACATGTATTTAAACTTGAGCTAGAAATCATCAAAACAACCTTTGTGTTTAATTTCAAGGATATTTGGAACAAAAAAGTGGCCACTAGAGTGTTAATAAGATTTTTCTTCATAAAGCTCCTGCTACCCAGTTTTTCATCCGAGATGACCCATGTTCAATTTTAGTCATCCGAGCAATTACTTAGACACACATCCTAACCAAGTTTGATGACAATTGAGGCAAAAATGTGACTAGAAGAGTGTTAATCAACTAAATGTGGCATTTGTTTACTAGGAAATTTTATAAATCAATTTCCCATGCATATCATGATCATGTATAATTATCTGATTTCAGTCTTGATAATAAAAAATTTAAAGGCCACAGAAAATTTACTGACTTATAGCTCTTATTACCGACTGTTCACCAATGAGAATCAAGTTGTGGGCGTTAGTAGGAAAAGAAAACTTTGTAATAAAAACACCAAATATAGTATTTAATTACAAATTTCTATACATAAATATATATACTACACCATTAAAATAAAGTCAATACTCTCTCATCTGATACCTGTAATAATTCCTTCAGGTGTTTGTCAATAAAATATCAATTAAAATTCTGTTTAAACATCTTACACTGTGACTCATTTACACTTGTAAAACAGCTACATTGCAAGTTTAACACTTTTAAGTTATTTAATAACGTCTATAATAAGAACTGAAAGCAAGTTTCATGAGTAATAATCCTTTTTTGTTTGCGTTGTCTGGTTTTTACGGCGCACCAAACACAATTTAAGTCATATGGCACCGAAACAGGAAAGATGATTTCGGCTAACCAATCTTAAAGCAACACCACCTCACCTGCTGGAGCTAAGAGATGCACAGACTCCAGTAATTCAAACCAACTTAGTCTCCTTTTACAATCACGTCGGGTAAAATGGAGGCTTCAATTCTAATGCATCAACACTTAAAGGCAACCCCTCAGCCACAAGGATGTCACATGGACAAACATACACAGATAAATGGTGACTACAATTTTTATGCCTCGATACTTAATTAAAGGCTATCTTAAAGGCAGCCTCAAGGGGCAATAATTATCCTATTTATCTACATTTTTGGACCTAACTGAAAAGCAAAAATTTTACTACTGTTATACAATAAATTGAATAATTAATACAATGTATTGTTTTGTCATCATCTGTCATTCCTAGACAAGATTACCTCTGGTACAGAATATTATGGTGAACACACCTTACAGAACAATTTGAATTCTAGAAAATCATTAATATAGTTCAAGGATATAGGTTCCAAGTTTCCATTAAACACAATGCTGAGCTGCCAGAAACCAACACATCAAATTAACCCAAGTATACATAATTATGTTCATGTAGAATCTCTCTTCATACTTTTATCACATTATTTTCTATAACATGACCAATATTTGGTGACAAACTATGACACTGGCACCCTATTGTCTCTAAATAATATTACAAAACCTTCACAATATTAATTTTATATTTAAATTGCAAACAAACCCAAACACTACTGGCACCAAAAGTTTGAAAGTGACTTTATTAAGTGTAACAAACCTCTTTGCTTTCATTCTTGTCAATATTTCCGCTCTCATCGTCATCAATCTGTTTATGAAGTGTTTTTATGGCATCAAGAGAAACAATATCTTCTTGACATGGTACATCCTCCTTAGGGCAGTCTGAAATTATATATAGTATACATTGTATTTTGATTTTTATAAGGGAAAAAAACAACAACAACAATTATTTCAATATATTAACATTAACTCTAAGCATGCTCAGCTTAGATAGCTAGCACTGCTGCGAAATTGATACTTTCATGTTTCATTTATAGGGTTTCATCAAGGATGAAACAAAATGAAATTTATTAAACATCAGAAAACCGAAGTGTTCAAAATAGTTTGGTAAGTACAAATGAATTATTTGAAGGCTTCCCTGGCTTTTTTACTTCCAGAAGCTACTATATTATCAAATCATTTGTAGTTTAATGCACTTCCAAGGCCTATACATTTCTTAATTTATTGGCTGGTCATACTGCATTGATACATGTATGTAATACTGCACTGGCTTTCTGCAAGAGCCACAAAGAATAAGCACCAGTATCTGACTACTGGCCTGGCTTTTTACTGGTGTCAGCTGGCATAAGTGCCAATATCAAAGTGATATAGTAATATTGTAAGAGTTTAGAAATGTCACATATTTCTAAAATAACCATGAAAACAAATAATAAACCTCTTTCCAAAAAATTCATAACAAAACATTCAAGGTAATTACGAGGGAAAATATTATGACATTTCGTTGACATGCCATAAACATATAACACAAATAATTGGCAATACTTAGCTGTAACGCCACTCAATTCCTATACAATATAACAATAGTAATTAATATCAATAATGAAATATTTGTTTCCTGTGTGCCAAGATTTTATCCCTCACAGACTGACAGTTTTCTTTTTCTTTCAAATCTTATTCATTTGCTATCATTTTCTTTTAATTTTTTCGTTTCATACTTTAATGCCTAATCAAATTATCATAATATTTTTTGTTGTTCTAAATCATCTATTTTCTATGGTAGAGAAAGGATGTATTTCAGTCACACAAACTTAGAAATTTCTGTTGGAGAAGACATAAATTGCCCCTATCATTGCATAAAATTCAGAAAATGGGTACAAGTTAACTGAATAGCCTCTTCACATGTCAGAGGCAAATTGAACCCAAATCAAATATGGGACATAAATTGAAAATTTTTACTTGTTTGTTTCATTTTACGCCTTTTTCCAACAGTATGTCAGTCATATAGGCGGGTAGTTTCCTAACCATCGTTCCTGGAGAGTTACACCAGTACTAGACGACCTTCCTCTGCGCTAAACTACCAAAGCATCTCCCGGAGATCGAACTAACACCAGAGAGGTAACTGGATTAGAAGTCATTGACTCTAACCCCTCGACCACGGAGGCTGTCACAAATTTTTACTAATTTGTCAAGTAACTTTACAAAATAAATCTTAATCAATCCACAAGCTGTTACCCCTAGATGCACAACTAAATTCCTTTAAAATTTCTTGACCAGCTTAAGCATTTTTAGAGCTACACATGACACACTATTTTGAAACGGACATTTGGATAAGGTTAAATCTATATGCCCCATCCCCTGTGTGGGGCCATAAAAACAACATAATCCCATCCCTACCCATTACCCAATCTACATGTACTGATGCAGGGCTTGAGTAAAAAATATGACAGAAGTAAAAATGAATGAACGGTTGGATTAACAGAAACCAAACACTTGTTTCAATTAGTATATAAGTATAATATAAAATACCTCAAATTTACTTGACATAATCCAATACATGCTACTGGTATATTTAAATGTAAAATAAAAACTACCTGAAATCAGGCAAACATAACATTTAATACATACATTTGATACACAATAAAACTATTCATGTGATTTTTTTCCCATGTAATTATATACTATGTATATTTTTAAACTTTGTGGATGTTTGTTGCTAAAATTGTTTCAAAAAAAAAGAAATTTTGTCAATAGATATCGTTTCTCAATATATGTGTAAAAATATCTAGATGACAACTTTTTTTCTATTTTTATTTTGTTGACTTTTAAGTTTCAAAACAAAATTTAAGGAAGTCTGTTCTGAATTTAAATGTTATTCATTTTATTAAACTTTCATGGTAAATTGTACAATGTATATTACATAAGAATTATAGAGGTTATTCATACAATTAGGAACAGACTACCTTTTTTGAGTGCTAGTACTAGCAATATTTATTTATTTATGCAAACAGTTAGTATAAAACCAGGTATTGAGCCCATAGATGGTACTTTAACCAACCATACATTGGTCACAGGGTGTAACTTAACTGGGCTATACACATGTCATTTGTAGAGCCATACACAGGTCACAGGTGGTAATTCAACCAGGACATACACCATGACATACAATGGTCACAGGTGGTAATTAAACCGGGCCATACACTGGTCACAGGCGGTAATTTAACCGGGCCATACACTGGTCACAGGCGGTAATTTAACCAGGCCATACACTGGTCACAGGTGGTAATTTAACCGGGCCATACACTGGTCACAGGTGGTAATTCAACCATAACATACACTGGTCACAGGTGATGATTCAACCAGGCCATACACTGGTCACAGATGGTAATTAAACCAGGCCATACACTGGTCACAGGTGATGATATAACCAGAACATACACTTGTCACAGGTGGTAATTAAACCAGGCCATACACTGGTCACAGGTGGTAATTAAACCAGGCCATACACTGGTCACAGGTGGTAATTTAACTGGCCATACACTGGTCACAGGTGGTAATTTAACCGGGCCATACACTGGTCACAGATGGTAATTAAACCAGAACATACACTGGTCACAGGTGATGATATAACCAGAACATACACTTGTCACAGGTGGTAATTAAACCAGGTCATACACTGGTCACAGGTGGTTATTTAACCGGGCCATACACTGGTCACATGTGATGATATAACCAGAACATACACTTGTCACAGGTGGTAATTAAACCAGGCCATACACTGGTCACAGGTGGTTATTTAACCGGGCCATACACTGGTCACAGGTGATGATATAACCAGAACATACAATGGTCACAGGTGGTAATTAAACCAGAACATACACTGGTCACAGGTGGTAATTAAACCAGGCCATACACTGGTCACAGGTGATAATTTAACTGGCCATACACTGGTCACAGGTGGTAATTCAACCATAACATACACTGGTCACAGGTGATAATTCAACCAGGCCATACACTGGTCACAGATGGTAATTAAACCAGGCCATACACTGGTCACAGGTGATGATATAACCAGAACATACACTTGTCACAGGTGGTAATTAAACAAGGCCATACACTGGTCACAGGTGATGATATAACCAGAACATACACTTGTCACAGGTGGTAATTAAACCAGGCCATACACTGGTCACAGGTGGTTATTTAACCGGGCCATACACTGGTCACAGGTGGTTATTTAACCGGGCCATACACTGGTCACAGGTGGTTATTTAACTGGGTCATACACTGGTCACAGGTGGTAATTTAACCAGGCCATTCACTGGTCTCAGATGGTAATTTAACAAGGCCATACACTGGTCATAGTTGGTAATTTAACTGGCAACTAGTCACAGGTGGTAATTAAACCGGATCATACACTGGTCTCAGGTGGTAATTTTACCAGGCCATTCACTGGTCATAGGTGGTTATTTAACTGGCCACTTAAGCCACAGGTGGTAATTTAACTGGACACTAGTCACAGGACTGGTGGTAATTTAACCAGGCCATTCACTGCTCACAGGCGGTAATTTAACCGGGCCATACACTGGTCACAGGTTGTTAATTTAACTGGCCACTGGTCACAGATGGTAATTCAACTGGCCACTGGTCACAGGTGGTAATTTAACTGGCCACTGGTCACAGGTGGTAATTTAACTGGCCACTGGTCTCAGGTGGTAATTTAACCAGGCCATACACTGGTCATAGGTGGTAATTTAACTGGCCACCGGTCACAGCTGGTAATTTAACTGGCCACTGGTCACAGGTGGTAATTTAACCAGGCCATTCACTGCTCACAGGCGGTAATTTAACCGGGCCATACACTGGTCACAGGTGGTTATTTAACCAGGCCATTCACTGCTCACAGGCGGTAATTTAACCAGGCCATTCACTGCTCACAGGCGGTAATTTAACCCGGCCATACACTGGTCACAGGTGGTAATTAAACCAGGCCATACACTGGTCACAGGTGGTAATTTAACTGGCCATACACTGGTCACAGGTGGTAATTCAACCATAACATACACTGGTCACAGGTGATGATTCAACCAGGCCATACACTGGTCACAGATGGTAATTAAACCAGGCCATACACTGGTCACAGGTGATGATATAACCAGAACATACACTTGTCACAGGTGGTATTTAAACCAGGCCATACACTGGTCACAGGTGGTTATTTAACCGGGCCATACACTGGTCACAGGTGATGATATAACCAGAACATACACTTGTCACAGGTGGTAATTAAACCAGGCCATACACTGGTCATAGGTGATGATATAACCAGAACATACACTTGTCACAGGTGGTAATTAAACCAGGCCATACACTGGTCACAGGTGGTTATTTAACCGGGCAATACACTGGTCACAGGTGGTTATTTAACCGGGCCATACACTGGTCACAGGTGGTTATTTAACCGGGCCATACACTGGTCACAGGTGGTTATTTAACTGGGTCATACACTGGTCACAGGTGGTTATTAAACCGGGCCATACACTGGTCACAGGTGGTAATAAAACCGGGCCATACATTGGTCACAGGTGGTAATTTAACCAGGCCATTCACTGGTCTCAGATGGTAATTTAACAAGGCCATACACTGGTCATAGGTGGTAATTTAACTGGCAACTAGTCACAGGTGGTAATTAAACCGGATCATACACTGGTCTCAGGTGGTAATTTAACCAGGCCATTCACTGGTCATAGGTGGTAATTTAACTGGCCACTAGCCACAGGTGGTAATTTAACTGGACACTAGTCACAGGACTGGTGGTAATTTAACCAGGCCATTCACTGCTCACAGGCGGTAATTTAAACGGGCCATACACTGGTCACAGGTTG